GGGATCCTAGACCCCGACTAATGAGGATAACTTTTCCATCCTCCCATATGGCGGCTGCAACTCTGGAAGCATTTCGTGTCAACAGACGTCGGTTGCCAACTGGGATCCATATGCACCCGGATAGGCCATACGACGCCAGGATCAAGCACAAAGGCAAGCTGGAACTGACCATTCCACTTGTGGACTGTCTTCAAAACAAAAAAAACGTGTAAAGGACAGGGCCTACCAATTTGACAAAACTTATATAGGTGGGTTACCTGTCCACTCACGCAAGGCTCTCACAGATAAACAGGAAGAAGCTCACGCGTTTCAAATTGAAAGCATTAACTGCTTATACATGAACGCCGCGAGTCTACCAAATAAAATGGATGAACCTAGTGAACTTAGCAACGCTAATAAAGTTCATCTGATAGGAATATCTGAAACTTGGATATCTCCTCAGTATTCGGACCAGGAGCTAGCAATACCTGGGATGTCTCTGTTTCGCAATGACAGAAAAACAGGAATTGGGGGTGGAGAAGCCTTATACATAAGATCTGGCCTGGTGGTACACCAAATCCACAACCACGAGTTTGACAATCTTGAGGAATCCATATGGTGCTCTGTGAGATTGTCCACTACTTCGAGGTGCCTAGTCGGAGTCATATATAGGAAGCCCACTGCCGACATCGAGTATGACAGTCGCATGCTGGAGGGACTATCCCGCTCTAGGCGTCTCGGCTTCACTCATATCCTGATCCTAGGGGACTTCAATCTTCCTAGAGTCAACTTCGCGGAACATACGTATACTGGAGGTGAAAATTCAATCGAAGCTCGGTTCTTCAACCTCATTGAGGACTTGGGACTACACGAAAATGTGAAGTCGTACACTCGTTGGAGGAACGGTCAGACACCGTCGCGCTTAGACTGTGTTTTTACAAATGAAGACTTTCTAGTCGACAACCTCTCAATTCTGGCTCCCCTGGGGAAAAGCGATCACGCCGTTATAGCCTTCAGTTTCGTCAGCAAAACAGAGCTAAGATATCCCAACAACAACAGGCGCTGGAACTTCAAACGGTTGAATGCGTCAGCTCTACAGGATTATCTACAACAGGTGGATTGGGATGTTCACCCTCAACTTGATGTGGATGCTCATTTGGACTCCTTACTGCGCACGCTCTCATGTGCTACTAAGCAGTCAGTTCCTCAAACGGTCCCCAAAAGGCACAAGCAACCTACAATCATCAAAAAACGCACTCTTCGTTTGCTAAGCCGTAAAAGGCACTGTTGGGCAGAATACAAACGAACCAACAACAACGGCGAGTACAGGCAATACAAACATATAAGGAACATATGTACGAAGGCTATAAGAGAAGACAGGCTTCAGTACCAGTTAAAGCTTATGGATAAATTTATTTCCAATCCGAAAAGCTTATTAAGTTACGCAGCTTCTCTTCGTCAAGCCAAAACTGGAGTTTCTCAACTGCTAGGTCCTAACGGCCCGACAGATAATGACAGTGACGCCGCTAACATTCTGGCTGAGCACTACTCCCGGACATTTCAGCCGACCCACATCAACTATACTGATGTCGGCTACATCTGCAACTGCACAGGACTTTCCGTAGTGAAACTGAGCGCTGACTTGGTGTTCCGTAAATTACAACACCTAAGAACAGACACTTCTCCTGGTCCAGATATGGTCCATTCTGCTATACTGAGGGAAGCAGCTTCAATCCTGGCAACACCGCTTAGCGTGATGTTCTCACACTCGCTAAGTCGGGGCAAACTACCGGATATTTGGAAGCTGGCTCATATCACACCAATCTTCAAAGGAGGTCGACGCAGTGAACCTTCAAGTTACCGACCGATGGCCCTTCTCTCTATACCTTCAAAGATCATGGAGTCCCTGGTATACGATGATATACATGACTATCTGCTGTCCTTAAATTTCTTCTCACCCCAACAGCATGGTTTCAGGAAGGGTTATTCCTGTATGACGAACCTGCTGACCGCGGTGGACAGATGGACAAGCATCGTTGATCGCAAGGGGAAGTTAGACATTATTTACCTTGATTTCTCTAAAGCTTTTGATAGGGTCAACCACACATGTCTTATAAACAAGCTCAAACAATTGGGAATCAAACCACCTTTAATTGACTGGCTCAGTTCATACCTCACAAATCGACATTTTAAGGTCAGGGTAAACTTCAATTTCTCACGCGTTATGGAATGTTCTAGTGGGGTCCCCCAGGGCTCAGTACTAGTACCTCTCCTCTTCCTGATTTATATAAATGATCTTCCTCAACAGGTAACGTCAGACATACTGCTCTTTGCCGATGACATGAAACTTTGGAGAGAGATACGCAACCAAGAGGACATACAGGCACTTCAGGAGGATCTGACTCGACTTCAAAGTTGGGCAGATGATAACGGACTTAGCTTTAACACCTCAAAGTGTAAAGTAGTCCATCTGCGACACGTCGCAGATTACAGTTACAACTTAGGAAACTCCTCTCTAGTAGTATCCCGAGTCGAAAAAGACTTAGGAGTTCTGGTGCCCTACGACTTAAAGTCTTACGCCAACTGTGACAAAAATGCCTTTAGAGCAAACCTTGCACTGGTAACATTGAAGCGCATTTTTGGTCAGTTTGACGGGAGAAATTTCCACATAATCTTCAATAGTTTCATTCGTCCCCATTTAGAGTACGGGAACATAGTATTCCTTCCTACACTCCAAAAGGATAAGGACACTCTGGAGGGTATCCAACGGCGAGCCACGAAATCAGTTCGGGGACTCAAATTTAAACCTTACGATGAGCGCCTCCAATCACTCGACCTTTACCCATTAGAGTATAGGCGTCTTAGAGGTGACATTCTAATGGCTTACAATATCCTTAACACACCTGGACACCCTCTTAAACACCTACTTAAGCTTAGTCCCAACACTAACCTAAGGGGTAACACCCAAAAACTGGAGATACAACATAGTAGAACGGACTGCAGACACAATTTCTACTCCTTAAGAGTCGTCAAATGCTGGAACTCGCTGCCAGCTGAGCTAGTCCAAGCAACTTCCCAGGAGTCCTTTAAGAGGCGACTTGATCTATTCTTAAGGACTAAGGATAGTATCCTACTATGATTTACCAATTCATTTTCTTTCTCTTTATCGTTAATATACCTAGGTTCTTGCCTGGAGGTATTGGTGATCCCCTGCTACTAGACACGGAAGCCTGTTAAGCGAAAGCTTCTTCTATTCCGTCCACAACCATTTGAACCATTTGAACCATTTGAAACATTTGCTGAATTGTCAAAACTATTTGTTTTGGGGCTTTATTTACCCTAAAACTGCTTCCAGATCGCTTACATTAATAAATATAGCTGCTTATATTGATCTTATCAGAGGTTCACGACCGTGAAATAAATATACCTGAAACGATTAAATGTCAGTGGTATAAATGTTAGGTTGTACTAAAGATAACCTTGATGTGGAAAAGTGTGAAACGCGCATTATAAGCTGATGCAAATCCACAGTCGTTGCGATTGAAGTCAAAAAGAAAAATAATCTACTGAACATTAGGCTCAAGAAAAGTTCTTTTGAACAGAAATGGTTCTTTTGTTTCATGGGGATACAGCAAAAATTCGAGAAATATAAACCACGTTGGGTGCTTAACTCTCCGTTTCTAAAGCGTGCTTGGTTAATGTCGAGTTACGAACCGGAGTTTAGTTTCATTAGCCATAAGGACCGTGATTGGTTTGATGAGAAACGTAATACGCAGTTCATATGTCTGTCAAATACGACTGGCCTAGAGATGATGTAATAGAACCTTTGCGTAAGCTACGTTAATATCCCAAGCTCCCAATTTTGGGGAAAATTTTACTTTGGGGACGTTCCCCAAAGTTGGGAACTTGGAATGTAAGTTGGTGTGTGATTTGAAAATTCAAAAACATCTCAAAAAGGCTTAAATCTGTTGGGAGTATGGCGGAGATGATATAGACATCCCATGAGAGGTTGCTAGCATAGTAATATTTTTAAACATTCAAAAAGAGGTAATCCGAACTAAGAAGTGGCAGATAAATTTTGAATCTGAAATAGCTTGCCTAAAAACAACATATACTGATAGGTGGAAACGGATGACACAAGGCTATGTATATATATTCTGCAAATACTTTGTAACTTCTTACAGCAAATATGCGTTCCTTTCTCGTATTGCCTTATTTACATCTGGTGTTTCTTTCAGGATCAAGATGAAAGTGCTGAGGCCGTTTGAGGATGGGAGCGTCGAGAACCACCTCTGGAAGTTTGAGGTGACAACGAGGCTTGTCGGTTTGAGGCCTCACTAAGTATCCATGTAGAGCTTTGCGTGGTATTCGTTTAAAATCAGTCTTCGTTGAGCCATATCCTGTGTTTTATTATTTAGTGTGTTTTTCATTTACTCATATATATATATATATATATATATATATATATATATATATATACTAGTCACATTTACGTGATAAATGCAGTGCTACATTTTTTCGGGAAAGCTGGGTCGTCCTGTGTACTTTATTTCGTTTGGAGAAATTTGTAACTGTAGACTTGTGCGAAATACATACATGATTTCCCAATTAATCTATGACGTGAGAAGAGTCAACGCTTTTCACACTTTTCAAATTATCCTCAAGCTTAGTCTCCGTATTATGCAGAAGTTGTATTGTCTTAGAGGTCTATTTGTCTTCGTCGTATTTTACTTATTATAAACGACTGAATTGATTTTGTAGGTAGTCTAATTTTTCATCTTGGTGTATGTGAGTTTTAAGCATTCAATTTTACAAGCCCTTGAAAATTTACATCTTCACTCATAAATAAAAGCATTAAAATATGTTTACCTTCTGTTTTTTTTGTCAATATTGAGGCAAATATACTTCCAGACATTTTTTCGTAAAATAATTTCTCTGTTATCTCTATTTTTCAGTTTTGTGTACCTCATCTTGACTTTTTCGATTTTTATTGTAAGGTAATTTGCTCATTTTTATTGCTAGTTTGTCATCCTGTTCTCGATCTTATTAATACATGTTCCTTTCAAAGTTGGCCCATAAAGGAATGGAGCTGACCAAAGTTGTTCAATTGTTGGATGCCTATTGCTTACCACACTTGGCCGAGAAGTGGGATAATGTTGGTCTCCTAATAGAACCTTCTATTCCGCACCATGTGGATAAGATTTTTATCACAAATGATTTGACAGAACAAGTACTCGATGAAGCGATTTCTCAAAAATGTGGTCTGATCGTTTCATACCATCCACCAATTTTTTCTCCTCTTAAAAAGCTCACGCAACAGCATTGGAAAGAGCGTATAGTTGTACGTTGTATAGAAAACAAAATCGGGGTATTTTCACCACACACCGGGCTCGATGCAAAACTTGGAGGTATCAACGATTGGCTTTTAGAACCATTAGGTAAATTCATACTAACTTTATATTCTTCTATAGCTGTAAATCGGAGAGAGAGTTTATCTCGATCACCAATTACTCAAACTTTATCCAGGTTGACCGTCGTTATGAATGAAAATTTCGGAGACTTCGTCATATCTACAGGAGTAAGAGTGTCTACAACTAATGTTAAGAGGTAAGGCATTTTGTCATCACATTATCATAATCAGTAATGCTGGAATAACAGCTATTGTTACTTGTGCCGAGTCCGATTTAAAACGTGTTGTAGATGTGACGGAGGAGCTTAAAATTTCAGTTGTTAGCATCGACACTATTCAAAAGGTATGTGTACTATCAAAAGAATATGTTGTAGACAAGTGAAGAAGGGTGTGGCAGACTGGTCACTCTACAGTTTCCAATTCATCTAAAAACAGTTGTCGCTGCCTACAAAAAGTTTCTAAACATGGGGCATTTAACTGTAGCCCCAGGACTAGGTAAAACCCTCGGTAAGATAAGTGTTTTATCTAAATTTCTCCTAATTGCATTTTTGTAAACGTTTATATATAGAAATTGTCGAGGGTACTTCTGGTTATCCAACAACTGACTTGCTTTGAAGAAATCGGAATCGAGAAAATTAGAGTTTTCAGGTTTGATAGAAAGCAGGCTACTTTTTTGGGCTGTAATAAATGTGTACTTAGAAGCGCCATACAAGTCGAACTTAAATATGCCGATCGTCTTTAATTCCATTGATTGAAGTACCATGTTGCAATTCTTATCATTGGATTTTATGCAGAGTGTCGTAATAGTTGTTTTTGAGAGTCACGTGTTATATATCGAACAAATGGGAACTAACGTTTTACTACTGACCTTTCATGCTTCAACAGACCTCACGGGATTAAATAATTTATTATTGACCTCACTAACTAGTTCGCTGAATTGTCTCTATTTAACAGGTCCACATTATGATTTAAGCTCAAAGTTCAGTTTATTAACTTGTGTCGCTTCTGGTGCTACCTACTTAATAAGATTCTATATAACAATGCATGATATAATGTTGTATCAAAGAATCAACTAAAAGAAAATTGAAGAGTAACAATAGTAATAAAAGATGAATACTATGTTTTGATATCATGAAGAATTTTAAGATAGCTTATTGACAGGTGCATATGAGGCTCAGATTTACTTTTGACTAGAGCATCAACAAATATTAGTATACGCATAATCTTTTCTTGATATTTGTCTTGATGTTCATCCTGTAACCCGTTTAGCTGACGCAGTATATTAAAGACCGATAGTATATCATTTATGCTCATTAAATTATTCGGGCTGAACTATTTCTGTAGTCTATTCTACCTTCTTTGGTTTTGAGAATTAATTTCCATCTTGTTGATATGATCAAGTACTTATGTTATTACCGAATGAGACTGGCTATTATCACATGTCGATATCCTCTGTTCAAGCGCAGTTTTACCGATTTCGCAATACAAACATCAAAGCCTACTGTTAATATCGAAATTCTATCGTAGAAAAAACGAGTAGTGTTCACCTATGTGTAAATAAAACTACTTTCTCTTTTACTATAGTATTTAGCCATTCAGCTTCAACATAGAACCAGGTACATATATGCATTGTTCCGAGTTGCCTTACCTCATTAGCACGACAAGATGAACACCGAATTCATAGAAGTAGTCAATTCAATGGTGGTTTTATATAAAAGAAAGATTGTGTATCAGAATATAGTACAGGACGAAAGAATTAGTTGGTAGAAAGAAAGATACAAAGCAATTTTAATCTCACGATTTAAGGGAATATAGAGAGTGTATACACCTACGCCATTGTGACCGATTTTGAGCCATGTCACCCAGAGTCCCCAACCACTGGTTACAATAGTCACGCGGACCCCAACCAAGTAGTCTGCATCTGCCCCCAAATGCCCTGGTACGGCCGAGAGTGGGGAGAGTCCGCTCTCCCTCTCGAAATGCTCTCACATGGCCATGCGTATATAGCCTCTGCCAGGGAAGTCCTACTCACTGCCTTCTCGTGGCGGGGGTGTTGTTTACAAAAATGAGAGGACGAAAAGCGAATGTCCGGTGCTTTAACCGGACCCAAAACCAATGGTGCACATGGGCTCCAGTATCCTGAAGGAACAAATGGCGTATGAACCAATCGTTGGTCACCGGCTACCATGGGACTGCATCTCCTCACGATGATCCACTACCTTGTGGGTCAGACATCCAGGTCGAAGGCTCGGGGTGTGGCCCCCTAAGAAAACCACCTGCTTCGGTTTAGGCACCCGGGCAGTATCACAGCCCTCACACAAATCAATTGAGATTCGTGTGACGCATATGTATTTGGTGCCTCCCTGTACCTATACTTATGTGTTAAAATAAATAAATAAAAAGTCTGCATCTACCAATGTGGCTCAGACCATGCGTTAGCGACTTCAAGGACTGATGTTACGTTTTGGTTTGGCCGCCCCTAACTTTCTTCCAACCATCCCAAACACTAATCAGCATTGCGCGTCGTGGTACTCAGTGTTCAGGCATACGTAACACGATGCCCAACCATTTCAGTCGGTGAAGATCCACAACCTCACCGACTGATTTACCATCATTCCCTAATTCCCTTAGTCTAACCTCACTAGTACTTACCTAGTGATCCCAGCAGATGCGAGCAATATTTCTAAGACATCTGTGGTCAAATACTAGTAGCTTACGTGTATCATCTACTCTTAGTGGCCACGTTTCGCAGTCTTAAAGCATAACAGAACGAACTGCCGCGCAGCATACTCGTCGCTTAATTGATAGACGGATATTACGCCTTCGCAATAGGTGACGCAACTTGACAAAAACCAAACGAGCTTTTTGAATTCATCAGACACTAACCCATTAGGGCTGATCAGACTTCCAAGATAAGTCATAGTATTTAAGCTCTGAACATATCTGATTTCGATATATTTCATGATTTCCTCCATGAAAGCTTGTGAAATACTTCAAAATAAATTTTATTGTGTTCCTTTTATGTAACTTTTATCTTTGTGAGTTATATTGAGTTAAACGGGAATCTAAATACGCTACGTTATATAGATAGAATAGACTATGACGATAGTACATTTATTTAGAAAGACATATTTATATGATTATTTAGTCATAACAAATGGTAATGACAAGGTATTTAGGGATCGGCTCTACTAGGACTCATAATTCAAGCATGAAATCATATTTGAATATTTCGCATTAGATGGTGGTTGGAGGTAATCCACAGGACACCCTGGCCTCGGGTTTCGTGCTACTTGGCACTCGTCAGCAAGGTGTACCTGTAATATTGAGGGGACTGGTGCTCCCTGACGGATTCAATCCCGTGTCACCCAGCTTCACAGTCAGAGACGTTACCACTGAGCTATCCGGGCCGCGACCGACCTCCTGTACGACTGAGATGTAATCACAATTGACTGATCACTGGGTGGTGATCAATGTCATGCGTGTCTAATCCATATTAGTGCAGATCGAATGCTATCGACCATGTTGCAATGTGGCCACCAGTCTAGGTGACTTGACACTGCGGGCACTATTGTGAGATTAGATGGTCCGTCAGGGAGCACCAGTCCCCTCAGGATTGCAGGTACACCTTGTTGACGAGTGCCAAGTAGCACGAAACTCGGATCCAGGGTTTCCTGTCGACTACTTCCAACCACCATCTAATCTCACAATAGTGCCCGCAATGTCAAGTCACCTAGACTGGTGGCCACATTGCGACATCGCCGATAGCATTCGATCTGCACTAATAAGAACTAGACACGCATGACATTGATCACCACCCAGTGATCAATCAATTGTGAATATTTCGCAGTCTTTGGCACCAATATATTTTACATGCACCTGGTCGCGTTACTCATTATTAATAAGTAGTGTGATAGATTTGTTATACGAACATTTGTCAGGTCTTAGTTCTTAATCGTCCTTCATCCTATGTTTTGTTTGTCCTTGAAGCAAAAGTAGCCTTTATCAGTTCGAATATCCTAAGTTTTTCTTGTAGCATGTGAACTATGTTCATTGAGATATTGGACATATTTCTTACTTGTAAACTTCAGTCCTTTATTCCCTGGTGACTAGAACTAGATTAAAACTTGATTCGTAAGACGTTCACTTCCACAACTTAATGTTAGCTCCAACATTATCCCATTGTAGAATCATATGTAAAACTGCTGTTATATTTTAAATAAATGTATGGACTTCCTGTTTGTATCTTTACGAAAGAAAAGTGCATTTGACCACCAGTTTTATTTATTTGAACACAAATATTGGTACAAAGGGACACCGAATACATATTCACCACACAAGTCACTTGATTTGTGTGTGCGCTGTGATACTGCCCGGGTGCCCAGACCGGAGGTGATTCTCTTAGGAGACCACACCCAGAGCCTTCGACCTAAAAGTCTGATCCACAAGACAATGGGCAACGTAAGGAGATGCAGTCCCATGGTAGCTGGTGACCAACAATAGGTTCATACGCCATTTGTTCCCTCAGGATCCTGGAGCCCATATGCACCATTGGTTCGAAATCAGGGTTTTACAACTACCCTAGGTAGATCCTCCATATCCACCAACCCGGTTAAAGTTCCGGATATTCGCTTTTCGTCCTCTCAATTTCGTAAACAACACCCCCGCCACGAGAAGGCAGTGAGTAGGACTTCCTTGTGAGTGGCTGTATACGCGTGACCACGTGAGAAAATGTAACCACCAGAGTAGTTCTCATTGACATCAAGTACATGCTATTTATTTTTATCGTGTTTGCGATCTCAGGTTAATATGAAAGGGAGATATTTATAGGTTGTAACTAGATTATTGATGTTATTACATCTAGTCTGCTTAATACTCATGTTCTGTCTCAGTTTCTCCTCCTCACTATTATTTAATCTATAGTTTTAAATATTTTTCTATACTTTTTTCCTGCATTTCCTGGTTGTGCATTGATATTGTTTAGATATTTTTAATTCACCTGTTCCATGGTTTTGTATCTAAAGAGCAAGTCAAAATCCTAAATGCTGCTCGTGCAATCATATTTGTAGTCGATTTAGGAGTGAATAATCGAACCTACCTTTTGATTTCTTAAAGTACCCATTTATCCATAGGACACAAATTATGGTACAGTGAGATATAAAAAAGTTGAGACTGATACCAGATCACGACTTAGTTCTATTCTGAGCCACCACGATAATTTTTTAAGTTACTGAGTTGCATTATCTTCATTAACTCAACCAGGGATTTGTGATAGCTTGTCAGATGCTAGTAATTTACGACTATCTTCTAGACGACGGCTCCGTATCATAAATGGACCACCTCTCCTATCCAATATTAAAAAAAGCCTCACTGTCACTCATCTCTATTCGTAAAAATCTGATTAATAAGTCAACTGTAGTTCTCTTTGGAATGTTCCCCTATCTTTCGGAGTATACAATGGAAATATTAAAGCATAAACAAATAATGAATAGACTTGTGAATTATAGTCGGACTAACCCAGTCAATTCATGTTTATAATCTGCGACACCTAATTTACGTGGCCCAAATAGAACCAGACACTTATTTCCTGAGTGATTAGTTCAGTTTTCATATTACTCTCAACGGTACTGAAAGGGTACCGCCGGTCTAAATCAAACTTTCCCATGTTGCCGGCCTTCATCGACTATGTCTTATTGTCTTATGCAGGACATAACATATTCTTTCTTTATGTCATGGAATTTTTCTAACTGTCGTCTGATAACTGTACGACTCTAATGTTTATTCAATCCCAAGGTAATATTCTCTAAGATTGATTTCGCACGTATTATTGAACTTGACACGTTAAACAACGCAAAATTAAAATTCTTATTAGGTAGAGATACACTTTATACACACGAATTTGTCAGACCACATAAAATATGAGGCGTTTTTAGACAGTGATTACTGTATGTAGTGTATAGTATGTGATGAAAAGGCTGATGTAAAGACCAATTGTGTAGCAAGCACGTAGTATGACATTGACTGAATAGCGAACATCAATACATCGGCAGATCGTTGTGTGTTAGAATTCAACTATGTGTGTACAATTCATGCTCTAAGATATTCATAGGACTTCAAAATTCTGTGTTTACTTCACATCTTTACTGACGTTTCAATCGAGTCTACGTATTCTAAATTCATTAGGTCAATATTCCTTTGTAAATTTACCTTTAATTACAACAAATATACTCGTTCATTGTCATTTATTTATGTGATAGATCATTGTTTGTGTCCATGAGACTTTGAACGTCCAAATATAGATTTTGGCGATCAGTGCATTGTGAGATAATATCTTGAATGTATTGTGAGTGAAGTAGTTGAGCGTGTCGACCGCTTCACTTATCTCGGAAGTCTCATCAGCCCTTGTGGTCTGGTGTGTGACGAAATCTCAGCACGGATACAGAAGGCTCGACTAGCTTTTGCCAACTTGCGTCATTTGTGGCGTAGGCGAGATATCCGTCTATCAACCAAAGGACGTGTTTACTGCACAGCAGTTCGTTCCATTCCACTTTATGGCAGTGAAACATGGCCAGTAAGAGTAGAGGATATTCGTAGGTTACTAGTATTTGACCATAGGTGTCTTCGAAACATCGCTCGTATATCCTGGGACCACCGAGTAAGTAATGCAGTTGTTATGAAACGGGTACTAGGTAAGGATGGCAAATTAGTTGATGAAGTAGTAAAACTTCATCAGTTGAGATGGCTGGGACATGTGTTGCGCATGCCCGACCACCGACTTCCCCGACGTGCTATGTTTAATGGTGTAGGAGTAGGTTGGAAGAAAGTTAGGGGCGGCCAGATCAAAACATGGCAGAAATCCATGAAGTCACTGACAAGTGGACTGAGTCATGTTGGTAGGTGTAGACTACCTGGTTGGGGACCGCGAGATGATAGCAACCGATGGTTAGAGACCTTGAATGACATGGCTCAAAATCGTTTGCAATGGCGCAGGTGCATCCACTCTCTGTGTTCTCTCAAGCTCTAATCTTCCGAATCCTTCATGTCCTTTATTTTCTTTCCCAATTTATTCCACTGGACTATACTCCTTTAATAACATCATTAAACCTTAATGTCCCCTATCTCTACTTATACTTTCAGTACCTCTACCACTATGGGATTTGAATCGATAACTGAATCTCTGTGCTAATGTGGTATGGCACCTCGAACTGATATACGTACGTACGAAGTTCCACGCTGTTACTGACTGACTGACTGAGTATGCACAAGCGCATGTATTCTAAGATTTCTCTTATTCATACTTGTACTTTTGTCATTCAATCATCTTTGATGTAGGACCTAGTACGAATGCTTATTAGTTCGATCTACCGCACGTCATATTAGCACAAAGAAAAGGAAATTAGAAAGATACGAGCCAAGTGATAGGAAATAATACCAGTTTTAGTGAGTATTTAAGAATGAGAAATATAGTACAGAAGGAATTTATCTCGGTCATTTTCACGAGGATTCATTTTTATTAGTTCATAATTTTTATCATCCTAAAAATCCTGCTTTAACCTCCTGGTATTTTTTAAAATATCAATTATAACATTTATTTACCATAATTTTTTATTATTATTACTCAACAGACTGTCCAATTAAAACAGTTGCTGTATGTGCTGGTTCCGGTGGGTCGCTTTTATGCCAAACACCAGCCTCATTTGCTGCCGATTTATTTATCACTGGAGAATTATCTCATCATGACCGTCTTGAGGCTGTTTCTCGTGGTATTTCTATTATTTTAGCCGGGCATTCTGTTACAGAAAGAGGATTTTTCAGGGAAAGATTTATCCCAGACTTTCGTCATCTTTTATCAACTGTACATAATGCTGGTGAAATCCCACACTTGGAATTGTTATTATCCGACGCAGATCATGAACCAGGTTTTGTCGTTTAACAAATCGCTATTATGTTTGTGTGATTTTGTAGTATTCAATGTGTTACAACAGATATTTTTAGTTGCTTCACCGCTTTTTTTCATTTCCTTCTTAATACTAGATATTATTGGTCTATTACTAACTTGTAAAATAAACCATAACTATCGTCTTATTTGTTCTCAAATTTCAAATAACCGTTCCTTTGTTCACCCAGCTTCAGAGTTCACGACAAATTTTTTTCTCTCTTTTGTACGAAAGTAATTTAATTGTATACAGAGATATTTGTCTTATGTATCTGCTCTCCTGTTTCTAAATATTTGTTCAAATTTAAGAAAACGAATTAATATTTCTTATTTCAACCCAAATCAAAGCATAAAATTGTGTTATTCTCGAATTATCTACTTTCGTACGTTGGATGAAAGCTGGATGTGACATCATTTGACTGAGCCATACGGGTAGATGCGGATTACTTGGTCGATTTCCGTGTAATTATCACAACCAGTGGTTAGACTTTAGGTGACAAGACTCAAAGGCACTCGTAGTGGCGGAGGTGTACTTACTATTTATCTTCCCTTAGATCGAGATGTTCTAAATTGTCTTGTAACTTTCCTTCATCCGACTAATCCATATTTCCTCAAATCCTATCGGTTATACCTAGTCTTTTCTATCGGCACTTAATCTGTTACTACCTACACTATGTTATTTGTTCTGACAGTTTCATCTCTCTGTGATAACTTGAACCGATATACATATATGCCAGGTTTTACGCTGCGTATGACTGACTCACTGAGTTATTTTAGTTGCGGATTTGCGATCAACGTTATTGACAATAGCTTCAGGTCGGATTTAGGAAAAAGTGACCGTTTATGGGTACAGATAGTGTTAATGACTAAATGTACACTGAAGAATTAATATTTTAAAGGTATTTCAATATCTCTCAATTTTACTTGGTCGACGCTATGGTTAATAGAATTCCAATAAATGTTCTTCTGGCTAATACACAAAATCTGTGAGAAAATCATTCAATATGTAAACGTAATAAGTGATATACGCTTAACCAAATAACAGAATAGTTCATATATATATCAGCATACACTTGATATTATGCCAAAGTATTTGTACAAGATTTTTCAAGGAATAAGATGTTTTCATTGAAATATGTATTAAGTTAGATTATAGATTATACTTATTTCGTGTCATTAAATGCGTATAAGGTTATAATCGTATGACAGTAAGTACTTTTAATGCAATACTGTCATATAGTAAAACGATCGATCAATCTATGAACTTATGCCTCAGGCATTTGACAAATATAAATATGTTGTGAAAATCTTGTCTAATTATACATGTGATTGTGTTCAGATTAAACTGATGTTAGAAAAGGATGGTAGCTGAACCAAAGCATTACATTAATACAGTAGTTTGTTTGTCAGGATATGTGGGATTTATTCCAATCTGTAATTAAAGGTATTAGTTGATATTGCTAATATCGACCATAATAAGGTAGATAAAGTCATTATTTAACCTTACTTTTATCTTTTTGTATCGTTTCGTATCCACAGTAGCATTTCTGTTCTTATTTTTCTACCGATCTTATTCTTTCACCGCAAACTGTTCGAGATTTTATCTTGGTATGCGTGTATCTTGTAATATCGTATATGTCTGTTCATGCCTGAAAAATTTCATATTTGTTCTTTAGAAAATAGTTGTTTCGAATATTTTAACGTATTGTACATCATTTATAATTACAAGTTTTATACATATTTTTGTTTTTCACTAAAATGGTCTCACAAAACTACTTCGGAAAAACGCTTTCCTTAATTAGTGTACATTTACTTAACATTTTTCTTCGACCGTGGCTGCTACCTTGACGTGGTGGTCGGGCTTCCCTATCGTGATGACCCAACCGAGCTATATTGGCTGGAACTCAAGTTCCTGCAGGTTCTACCATGCCAGGCAGGTCGATTGGAGAACGGTAAGACTAGAAGCAGCAACTCAAGGTCTGAGGGCGAAGTCGTACTACCGACTGTACGGAGGTGTGACAGCAGTAAGGTGTTTCCCTCGGACAACCAGCATCTGCAGCGATGCTGCCTTCTCACAAGGAAGGAAGGGGTTAGAAAAGGTTGACCCTAAAAATGTCACACCTCACCTTACCCCACGGATTTCCGTCTCCGGCGGCAAGGCCCTTTGAATAACGGAGCTAACACATTAAACACCTCCCACAAAAAGGCCGTGCGCGACTGGCCTCAAGCAGTTGTCCCTTGGGCTCTGCGGTCACGCACCCAGGTCGCTAAGACCAACACTAATCCGATTTCTTTTTCAGGTTCCTCAAGAAATACCCTTCCACGGTGTGGGCAACCGGAAAGTGACATCAGCCCTCATATCCGTAACAGCACACGAGACCAAGTTGGTCACGTTCAAATCCTTCCTACACCTCCTGATAACTCTTATTTCCACAAACAACCGTTCTCATGTCCCTTTATCACCTCGCCCCGCTAGTGCGAACGATTCGAGTACGCGGAACGTTATTCCTGGTCTCCTGAAACCACGCTCTAAACTACACGTAGGAGCTTTCAACGTCCGAACACTGTGCCAAATAGGACAACAGGCTTCCTTAGCTAAGACTTTAGAATCTCGCTCCATCGATGTGTGCTGCGTCTCCGAAACGCGCACACAGGATCCTAGTAGTGTTATTCATTTGACCGCACCATGTCAAAGTAACGAACCAACTCGATTGACGCTTCGTGTATCTGGAATCCCTGATGCTGCTTCCCGTGGCCTCGCTGGCGTAGGTATAGCATTGAGTCCTAGGGCAGAACTAGCTCTCTTAGACTGGATCCCAGTAGACAGTCGTTTGTGCGCTGTCCGACTAAACGGAACAGTAAGGACTCGGAAAGATAGGGATACTCTTCGTTGTCTCTGCCTACTCTCCCACTGAATGCAGCTCAGATGATGTAAAAGATGAGTTTTACGGAAAGCTTTCCGACCTCCGAAAATCTAGGCGTTCAGATGTAGTAATAGTGGCTGGTGACTTTAATGCTCAAGTAAGTAAACTAAGCGAAAGGAAAAGACACCTGGGTGGATCTTATGGTGTCACGGCCCAAAAAACAGATAACGGCGACCGTCTGTTGCAGCTATGTTCAGATAACCGCCTGTTTCTTGCAAACACTAACTTTGAGCATAAGGAAAAACATCTTTTAACATGGCGACCCCCTAATTCGTCCCAACGCTGGACCCAAATAGATCACATCGCTATCAGCCACCGATGGAGGGGTTCGATAGAAGACTGTCGCTCATTCTGGTGCACATGCTTAGACTCAGATCATGCTCTAGTGCGAGCGCGTATTTGTCTACGCCTTACTGGACGTAGGAAAGATGGTGCAAGGAAACCCCTTAGAGTCCTACTTAATGATAGTCAAGCTAAGAGTATATTTCAGGAACAACTAGAAAAACAGTTAGGCAGCCATGTAAGTGATGCCCACTCCGAGGCAGCGTGGAATGATATCTGAAATGCCGTAGAAACAGCAGTGATGTCTGCAAGTACGGTAAACCATAAGGTTAGGGAGAAACACTGGGTCTCAGAAGCATCTACCGCACTGATAGATGCTCGGAAACTCATTCCATCTGGCTCTGAACATAACGAAGAGCGGAGTCAGCTTAAGCGTAAGCTGACAAGAAGCCTACGCAATGATCGTGAACAGTGGTGGGTAGCGAAAGCAAGAGAGATGGAAAAGGCAGCGGCAATAGGTAACAGCAGGCAACTGTTCAGACTTGTTAAGGAAACCGGTATTAGGAAACTAACTGTTAGCAAAACAATCGCAGAGAGAGATGGACATATTATTCATTCTCAATCCAAGAGATTGGACTGATGGGTAGAACACTTTAGGGATCAGTTCAACTGGCCTTCAGCCACACTTCGGTTTCCTACGATCTCCAATCTACCTGAATGGCAAGTCCTCCGACTCTTTACGAAGTTGAAAATGCTATAGGAAATCTGAAGCGTGGGAGAGCAGCAGGCCCTGACAGGTTTACTCCTGAGATTTTTAAGGATGGTGGTCCAGTATTAGCAGTGAGATTGACTGAGGTCTTGAATAGAATTTGGGAACTGGACGTAATCCCATCTGACTGGTCTCAATCACTGATTGTGCCAGTCTATAAGAAAGGACAAAAGTCCTCCTGTGACAATCACAGAGGAATCAGTTTGACTAATATAGTGTCTAAAATATTAGCTTCAATAATACTTCGACGTCTAACCAAAGCTCGTGAAGAGCAGACTAGAGAAAATCAGGCTGGTTTTCGACCTGGACGTGGTTGTATTGCTCTGTTTCTAACCTCAAAATCGATCGATCAATAGCCTCAGTCTGAGCTAGCAGTGCTTCAATAGCATCTATAGTAGGATACTAGAAACCTACAAATATTCTTTATTTTCAGACCACTATTCAAAACATTGAAGTTGTTCAGAGCAGACTCCTATGCAATTAATCCATCATTTGCTTTCAGGCGGATATCTCATCCTCTCCATAGATGACTCAAGTTAGTTAAAACATCAAACCACCAGGGCTGATGAGACTTCAGAGATAAGTGAATTGGTCAATATGCTTCACTAATTTAGTTCTTATTATTAGTTCAATTCCTGAAGGAACACTTTGCATTTAAATAGAGAATCGCATCATAAACATGGTTAGGTTGTTTCCATGAAACTACACTTCGTCAACGTATTCACCAAACATGACTATGCCACCTGTACATTCCATGTCAACAAGTGAATCTTCTATTCGGAAATCAATTCGTGAAAATTGGGACGTAGAATATTTCCATATATATTGACTACTTACAATCAAAGTCAATAGGATCTGTGCTATCAAACTGACTCTTCGTATTCGTTACTTCGATCATCGATACGGCCTAACATTTTATGTAATACACCAAAATAATCCTTAGTTGTCAATGCTGATCTAACTAAGATGAGTCAACAGTATTAACCGTGAAAATCTGGAAATCTCCACAAAACCCCCACACTAATTCCGAATTTTTAAATGCTAATCATATATATATATATATATATATATATATATATATATATATATATATATATATATTATTGCAAAAGATTCCGTCAGACTGCGAATCCTACAGACGGTTGAAACAATTGCTATTCGGATCAAAAAGCCGGAGCTTTGGATCCAAAAGAAATATGTTCAGGCATTCCTTTCGCCCTGGCCAACTTCGGGGCCAATTAGTTACTAATCAGTTCTATAATATGGTGACGTAATTTGATTAATGTTAATTTTATGTCCCTAACTTATTATTATTATTATTATCATCTTTACCACTGTTATTATCATCTTTAACATTGTTATTATTATTATTATCATTACACTTGATAACCATTTTTAGGAATTCATTCAATATCTACCCCTAAATCTACTATATCTGACCTAATTCATATTATTCTACATATTACGTAATTTCTGATTTTTATTCCATTATTCTCTCTCTCTCTCACCCCATGTTGACCATATTTATTCTGATCATTCATCTCATAATTTCATTTGATGGATAAACTGATTCAAATTAACACTTTATATTAGTCTACCCCACAATTAACGATCTGATTTGATTTTATATGACAAACAACAGTCCTTAATTCTTATCAGAAGGGGTTTTGTGGAGATTGTAGTGATTTCAATCATTAAGATCATGAGTCAGTTGAAACTAGACCACCTTAATTCACAATGATGTACTCCGCCTTAAACTTGGCCAGTGTTATGGATTATTAACTTGGATATGAGATAATGGTAGAATATGATGAGAAATTATTGAAAAGAATATTCTTCCTTCATATGAATTGTGTGCTTTAATCTAATGGGAATTTTTCAGCGATTACAAGTAATTAGTTTGAAGGTGATTAATTATCACTTATTTTTATTTATCACTTTTACAGTATAATTAAATGGTCTAAATTTAGATAATCAATTTTGCCTTGTACTACTGCTACTACTATACCATTGAAAATTATTATCTCTAATGTTAAATGATTTATTCGTTTGAATGAATATCACCCAGTTTAAAAGCGTTAACACCATTATTTTTTTTTATTGGGTCATTCATTACTTATCATTCAGTATTCAATAAAATTTTGTTACTCTCTCTCTCTCTCTCTACTTTACAAAATCATTCACTAATAATTGAAAGATAATAAGATATGAATCAAATCTCATTGGTTCAAGATGTTCTGAAGGAATAGATATTCGATATATTAAACTCAACATATTTGTCAATGATCTATTTAATTTATGCATTACTATCATCATTACCGAACATAGATAAACTCATACACATACATTCTAATTTGATAGTTGTGTCTGTCTGTTTATCTATCTATCCATCTATGTATCTATCTATCTATTTACTTATTCATCCATTTATCAATATATCCACGTGCCCGCTTACCTTATTAGATCAAAAAAAAGATAATAATTTTAAATAACTTAAGTGAAGAAGTTGAATTGTTAAATTGGAATTAAATCATGAGTAATCATCAGGAAAGCGCAAAAATCAAATCAACTGATATGCCAGAATCAATGCAATGTATAGCTGTTGATTGTTGTGCAGCAGCATGTGAACGTTTTACAGATGATAGAGATATAGCTAAATATATTAAACAAGAATTTGATAAACGTTATGGTGGGACATGGCAATGTGTAGTTGGGAAACGTTTTGGTTGGTAAGATTGAATATATATGATTATGTTTACTTTAGTTGGTTAATACACATTATCAATGTAAAGGATTGTATTGTTGATGTAATTTAGTTGTGTTTGTGTACGTGACATATTGTTTCCATTATTGTTATGTAAGCAATTAGTAAAAATGCTTAAGTAATAAGATATGTATTTCAATGTAGTTGAAACATCTCTATTAGTTCTTAACATTTATTATTTCAAGGATTCAGATTTAAAAAGTACATGTTAAGTAGTGAACTGAGCCATGTTGGTAGGTGTACATCACCTGGTTGGGATCCGCGGGTCAATAGCAACCGATGGTTAGAGATCTTGAATGACATGGCTCAAAATCACTTGCAATGGCTCAGGATCATCCATTCTTTGTGTTCTCCTAAATTCTAATCTTCTGAATTCTTCATGTCCCTTTCTTCTTTCTCTTCCCAACTTTATTTCACTGTATTATGCTCCTTGAATAACATCTTCAAACCCCAAATCTTTCCGATTACTGCTTATGCTCTTACTACCTCTACCACTATAGGATTTGAATCGACAACTGCATCTCTGTGCTAATGTGGTATGGTAACTCGAACTGATGTACGTACATACGAAGTTCTACGTTGTTACTGACTGACTGATAAGTATTGAGTACATTAGACTTTAAAGATCTCAAAAACTGGTAATTCGTTTTCGATATTAAAGGTATATATGTTACATAGAAAAACTTCTAAATGTGATGTAATACAAGATAAATTATTACAACTTTACAATGATAAGTAAGATGGTTTTTTGAACGTGATACCTAATTAGAACGATGCTCATGATAATAAAATGCAATCAGATTTTTGATAATCAATTGTAAGTGATATTTTTTTATAGCATGAAAGGAATTATATTTTGATGGAGTTTTGTTCTCTGAGCTTATTGGCAATGTTTGGTCAATCTGAGTAGGATGCACACATCCCAAAAGAGATTGGTCAATTACAACAGCACGTAAATCCTGCTTTGGTTATTTTCTAAAAGTCAATTATCATCCAAAGTAATTTGGTGACATGTTATACTATAATAATGTTTCTCACCAAATGTACAAAGCAACGGATACTTTCCAGTAAACTACGAAAAAACTGATCAATATAGAAATAATAAGGTATAGAAAAATATCATCCACGTTGATACACTTAACATTAATGTAATCAGACTATATCCTCTACGAAGTATCAATGATTCTGTAGTTAGTAGGACAGAACTTCACTTAGGAATCTGAACAAAATAATCAATAAATTAGAAATGAAAAACGAAAGGCAATTCTTTAATAAGTACAATCAGTTGATAACAATTGCCAATAGTCAGCTGGTTTTGGTAAATTTGCTTTCTATGGTCTGAATACCTTAATTGTAGAGGCCTCATTATTTTTCCTCCTGAGTTATAAATCTTTCCCCTCTCATTAAAGTAAATATGATGATAATATTCTTGAAATTTTCATCCCGAACTGACATTATCCAATGAGTCATGGAATAACGAGAGATACTGTACAGTCGTTTTGTTTAAGATAAAAATTTCTTAGCAATGCAAATCTATAACATCACTGGAGAATGGATCGATAACCTTCAGGATTTTATGCGAGTACATCAATCTATTGATCCATATTTATAACTTTAGGTAATTCATATTTTAGCACGATTTTTAAACTTCTACTTTCTCACATTAGTATAATTATAATCAATAATTATAGACTCATGCGGTTAAGGTTCTCTGTTGGTCGATTGTGTATTCTTAAGAATTCTCATTTTTATTCATTTACATGATTCTATTAGGGTGAATTATTCACTGAATCCAGCTATCTCGATATTTTAATTTATTCTTTACAATCGTAAAAGTAATTATTGTGACCGGATATGGATGTATTTATTTATATCAGTTCAATTGATTTTATCAAATATGAATTGTAGAACAATATAAATGAGGATATCTGTTTCGCGCGTGTGTGTGGTTGTGTATATCTGTATATACAGTGACTTGTGTAAAGGTTTACATTACCTGCATATCTTTACATTTATCTAAGTGCACTACAAGAGGCTAGATTTAAAGGGAAGCATGCTATACTGATCAGTTTTTAATATATGTTATGAAGTTAAATAAATGAATTTTTAATATATGTAAGATCGTGCGTTTCTAGTGAAGTATCATGGTCAATCGTATATTTTCATTTCATTATAACAAGCATTTGATCATGACACATTTATAATAATTTCATTAATACTAACAGTCTACCCAATGCTCTATTTATTCGAAATTATGTCAAACCTTGGTAACGATACTTATAAGCAAATTATATGTTTATAACTAGTGCATGAATACAAATGATTTTAGAATAAACAATAATTTCTTTATGCAATGAATTTCATTGTTGAATAGTGAATATTCTCCATTTGCTTATGGTGGACGTCCAAAATTGGCGAACAATATCCTCAACAAACATATTGAAAATAGTCTGAACAATTGTAGCCAATGTATGGAAATAATCCCCCCGTCACTTGTCTGAATAACCTTCAAATATCTTGCAAATTTCATCTGAAAATTTAAATAAATTTGTGTTTTGTTAGGATTTTAATTTTATGTTAAATATGTTACAGTTTAGATATTCGAAATAAAATTTCCCAATACTGGCTGATTATTACATGTCATGTCGTTTAGTTCTTCATGTTTCTTAAATACACCTAGAACCAACTATATTTTATCCTGTAGATAAGCCATTTTCAAAAACTGACATATTAGAAGCTTACATTCCATAGTGTTCGACTGACAATGAAGTTTTAACAATATCAAGGTGCCGATTAGTGCAAAGATCAATATATGTGTTAATTTAAATGAGAGTGGTTTGAAGTAAATGTTTATCTTATCAAGTCTCATAGCTCCATCAATTATTTTCTCTCACAGATGGTTTTGTAAAAATGCTTAGTTCACAATGAAAAATTTAACAATGATTAGACAGTCAATCAAGAAGTAAAAAAGGAAAAATAATATGACAAACAATTCTCTACTAGAAATATGTCAAAAAAGTGTTAGGAAATCAATAGGGGATAGAAAAATGATGGTTTTCCGCCTGTAAAAACTTGGTCTTTTAAAAATAAATAGGGTTCTTCAGATGGCGAGCTTAACCATATCAAGGTATCAATCCTCATATATATTATTATGGAAGTATCCGATTTTTGGAAAAATTATTTATTTATTTAGTACAGTAAATTGCGCTTCACAGACATAATAACATTGTCTGGAATTCTATATTTATATACACATATATTCTTATTCAACATTTTTGACTTCCTAACTTAAATGTGAAGAGAAAAAGATAAAATTAAATAGGTCTATAAATGGGAAGTATCCATTTTGTCATAAAACCAGAAAATGAAAAGATCATTTCAGCGGTGATTTTATTTTCAAAAGGTCACAATCGATAAAACCTACTTAATGCGTTCACAATGATAGTCTACAGTATGTTTATTTATTCATCACACTTAATAACAAGGAAGCATAAAACGGGACAAAAAATCAAATATAATTCTCATTCAAAACTCTTAAAATGGAGTTGCTATAGTGATTAAAAATATTAACCATGGAAGTCCTATTAACGAGATGAAGATTAATAGTAACAAAGGTTGATAAGATAGGTTTAAAAAAAGAATACTCAGTCAGAAAATCCAAAAATAAACAGGATTAGATTGGTTTGAGGTATGAGTTCATTTCGCAGAGTAAGAAATAGGTGATAATTTGAAAAGGGAAAAAAAATTTACAGAAGTGCTTAACTGTACAGACTTTTATGTATGCGTTTGTGAGAGCAGATTCAGCACTACAAGAAAAATGACAACGGATAGTTTAGAGAATGTGACTACCTGAAAAAATTCCTAAACTGAATTATTCATTCCTGTTATAAAACTTCGAAAGAAATTATTGATTTATAAAAATTAACAGTTTTCTGTAAAGCAATACAAAATAAATAGGATAAAATAAACAAACCTTTAGCTACTAAGCATCATTTCGGGGTGTGGCCACCTAAGAAAACCACCTGCTTCGGTTTGGGCACCCGGGCAGTATCACAGCCCTCACACAAATCAATTGAGATTTGTGTGGCGCATATGTATTTGGTGCCTCCTTGTTCCAATACCTATGTGTTAAAATAAATAAATAAATACATTTCTCTTGGATCCTATGAAACATTTTACGTGCTCGAATATCTCAGTAACAATTTAATTTGATATCAAAAAAGATCCAAAACGACAATAATTGGAGATATTAATATTCATACTTAAAATAGCTTACATAAAAACGACTGTAATAAAATTTAAGGCTGACTGATTGTTCTTTGTGTAATTTAGTAAACTGTATATTATATACTAGATTTAACACATCTAAATTAAACATGAACCATTGAATTAGACAGAGATGGATGGTGGCTAGCGATGGAATCTAAGACACATATTTCGTCTTATTTGGTATGTATCAGCAAGCAAATTAAGATGATTGAAGTGGTCTGTATTTTTAATGGAATTATTTGTAAACTCGTAAAAAGACATTATTGTTTTTGAATAATTTTCAACTTATAATGAAGTTCAAATTAAATAGATTCTTAATTAAGTAGTGGATTATTCAAAGTGAGATGACGGAAAATATTTCTAGCTTAAGATAAGGATTTTGAAGATTTTATCTGAGCTAAATAGTTTACTAGTAAAGCTTCCATTGTCTTTCGCAACGACATCATCATCACACTCTTCAATAAGAAGTGAGTTATTCTAGCATCTCACATTCTATTCAGGTGTATGCTGATAATATTGTTGAGAAAGACGATGAAAGATCTACTAGTAAACTATCTAGTTCAACAAATAGAACGCAGTGAATATTTTAGGCAATAAGTTTCTGTGTATTTTATAACTATTGGGCTTTTAGTATCTCCAAATTAAATTATAATTCTGAGGATTTTTGATGGTTCCTTAGATTTGGATATTGATACTTTTATCAATACACTAAATACTGATGCCAGTTTCCTTTTTAGCTTTTCAATTATCACCGTTATCATAATCGACATAATCTATGTTTTATGTCTACGTTCTTTACAATGTGAATCTGTTTTGATAACTATATATATGATTGTCTCTTATTAACATGTAAGAAAAAATTTGTTAACATTAAAATTAAAGATACTCCTGACTCATAGTGAGAAAATTAGCTGTAGTTCTTTTGGAAGAATATACTCTGTAATTTGCGACAATACCATTTTCTTGTAATTTCTTTGTGCTGCTAATTTAGAGTATTCACTCAATATTAGACACCACATATTCACATTAGAATCCAACAGTTATTTTACTACTGAATATTGTTACCTAATATCAATCCATTCAGTGATGTAATCTAATCCTTTGTTATTAAGTTATTCCGGCTGTAAATACTTTCCGTCATGAGCGAGTCATGGGTATTAACTGGCTATTTTTTAGTGGCCAGTTGATCTGACTCCAGTTAGATCAAATGTTGATGTTAACGAAACATACAATACTGCCAACCCTCGTATATAATTATCGACTTAATTCATAGCAAAGAATAACGGAATAAAATAAGCCAAATACGTGGAGGAATTTTAGATACGTCTATTTCATACACTCGTTGACCCAGACAGACGATCAGAGAAACGAAACAGAGAAGCTGACCGGATAAGACAAACATGCCAACTCCTTTTGATCAGGCGTGACTCAATACTTATAGCCAGACAAAGATAAGCTTAAGGCATGTGATAAATAGGGTAAGTGGTACACACATATACGCTCATATTAATACAATCAAGGTTGTAAGCGAATAATTGACATGGTCAAAATGTTACTCGAGAAAAATAAACTAATTGGTCTATACGGAAGCTTGGATAACCCATGTGGGCTTGGCATAGTACCAGACACTACTATTTTCTCTACTCTTTACTGTTAATTAAAAGTGACACAAAAAATTAGGGAACGGCACCAATATAGATTTTCAGGTACAACTTAGACCACTTTTAAAACACATTTTCAATTGTTTGACTTTATCATATTGTTTGAATTCTTTTTATTTCTCTTTTTTCGTTTGTGTTTTAGTTACGTTTCACATACAGAAAACTGTTTTATTTATTTTCATCTGTACCTAAATGCAGTACTGTTATTCCAAGCAGTTCCATAAGAACCTCAACTTCAATAATAAGAACAACCATAATCCAACTGAAATCAGAAAATATCTAATTTATGATTTTATTCTACATTTAGATGTTTGTCTACAGACAATAAATAATTATTCAATTGTTCATGTGTGAAACAAAATTCTCATCTAATCACAATTACAGTTTACTTGTTTTTTGAATTGTTGACGCCCATTTTAGTTTTATAAATTACTTTTATAGTGTATAAAGACTCGTAGCCTCTGACATATCATAGCATATACACAGGTGCATACTTCTAAATGGACAGTTTGTCGTCTCATTATTCTCATCTGACTTGTAAATCCACTTTCGTCTTTTTAGAAACTCACTTTGGTCTTGAGAGGTTAGCCTGTGATGTTCTATTTACAAAAAGCGGTCGATAATATTTAATAGATTACCCCCCCATAAACATGATTATGTAATCACCTTTGACACTTGTTATCCAACATGTTCTTTTTTTCCTATTAGTTCTATTTATCAATCAATAATCAATTTGTCCACTAAGACGATTTCTTCAAGTTCTACTACTGTTTCAGTACAGTTTTATTCCTATTTTCTTACTGACTCATCTCTTTTTTTTACCTCTATTGGGATCAGTAATGAAAAAATGTCTATGTATACATATAAGCTATGAAAAAAAATACATGTTGGTAATTGTTTACACATATATATGAATACATTCTCATTGATTGTGATATATTTTCTTCTCATTTTATATTCATAAAAATCTCACTTGTTAACTGAACTATTGTGTATTGTATTTAGTTTCATCTGTTATATCGTTTGCTATTGGGTTAAATAAGTTGACTTAGTGTATTCTAATCACTTGTGAACTATTGTATTATTTATGAGATAACTTTTATTACAGTCGGACTGTGATAATTCACATGTAATAAAATGTTATTTTGATCACCTAAAGATTTATAGAGTACAGATTTGAATACTGTGAATATTGACTTTCCTGCTCGGATTATTTATAGATTCACAATGGATTCAAGACCGTTTAGTTGGGAATTTGGAGATAAGAAAGTGCTCACCTGCTAGTTCGAAATATTATCAATAGTTAAAAGCAATCGTATACCTCTTACAATCATGTGGTAATAAACTATGATGACAGATCAAAATTATTTTCTCTAGTTGTAGACGATTATGATCGATTTGTTATAGCTCAATACATACATCACCAAGATGTCCACTCGAAAAGAAATAAATGTTCCCTACTAACATCTTTCATTGCTGTTATACTTGTGGAAAATGTACTACTTAAACAATTTTTAAATTAAAACACTATCTAAAATGTACTCATTAAAATTTAGTAGTGTTAGTGGCAGACTTGAGGTTAGAACAGTTTAGTGAGCACTCCCAATCATAATTAGTAGATTACTGCATGATAATCCAAGTAAAATTACAAAATGGACGAAGCGAAGCTCGAACTATAGATATTTTCTGTATGAGTCAAGAGATTCAAATGCTAGCAAAGTTAAAATTATATAGAGAGAAAAGCAATTAAAATGGACATTTAAACAATAACCGAATGATCTGTGGAAAGACTCATTCAAATGTATTACTGAAGAAATTTGTGAAGAAATTCTAATAGTATACTTCTGTTTGAGATTTGTACTGATTTTGTCTAGAAAGGCAATCAAAATGTAATAATTAAACTAGCAAATTCGTAGAATTATAAAGTTAAACCATCGTATCAACAAGTATGTATCAGTTGCATGGTCTCAATAATTCTATTGGATAGTGGATTCTATCTGAGAACATACTCCTATTTATCAGTTTATCATTTTTTAACTGTAACTTCATGTTAATTGATAAATGTATACAAAAGTTGTATTTATTTAACAGATCAGATATTGTTTCCTGTTATTCTTATTTCTTGATAAGGTATAAGGTATTGAATTTATACAGTAATCATATTCACTATATATTTGTATTGTTTTATCGAAACCATTTTGTCATTAAAATAATCAATTCAATGAATCATAAAGTGACCGCTCAAACATTAAAAATGATTGTTTTTAAACTTTAATTAGTGATATGATTTAATGCTCAATCGGTTGTATTATCCACACAAGTGAGTGGTTAACTGAACTCAGTAAATAAATAAATATTGCGATGGTATTTGAAGCAAATGATATTGGTTTTGGGGTCATGGAGTGAACATCAACTTTCTTATATGATGAGAAGAAAAGTCAATTCCCGATTGATTTACTTAATATGAGTTTTATTCATCATTATATCCGTTTTGATTCAATGTAATGATTACGCAATGTAGTATTTGTTTTCTCTTCTCGTATGATATCTTATCCTGTATAATATACGATATTCTTGTATTCCATTGACCTGAACCATGCTCAGTATATGATTTACTATAACTCTAAGTATTTTTCATATATGTGATTTCATCCTAATTATTAATCAAAAATAGGTGTACAATCAATATATAAAAGAGTGTATTTTCTACTAGATTATCATCTTCATCGTCGTCGTCATCATAGTGTTTTGGAGCTAATAAATCTTCACTTATACCAGTCTTTGTGTTCTTACTTTCACGTCGTGGGAATTGAAGAGGTCCCTTATTCCGAGTATAAGTGATCAGAGTTTTCCGGTACAGCAATCAGCAACGATCAAATGTAACAATTGCGACGACCAAGCATAACACTTCCATGTATTCGTATCTAACAGAGAACGAAACACTCGTCTTGGATTCTATCTATTCTATATTGTTAATTATATCATCTTTGTATCTTTACTTAAAGTCAACAAGTAAATTAAAAGTACACACATAGGTATTTGTTTATTGATTTATAGTAATTCAAAGTGTTTTGTACTTCAATATTATTGAATGAAATTTTATTAAATCTAAATCGATTTTGTATGATTTCACATATTTGAATTAAATGAAATGATAAGAAAAAAACTTTTTTTTTCTCCTTAAAATCACGCGAGGCTATACTTGAATTTGATTGATTAAAATAAATTAAATTCAATATCAGAATAATTTGAGTCTGTTTGTTGTTCATTATTATGACAATAATAAATAGCCTAATTGAAAAACAAACAAACAAACAGACAAAACCAAACAACTTTGTTCATTGTTATTTCAATCGTTTAAAGATTCTGATCATAGTTAAGAGACTAATATATTGAACGAAGTATATTCTTTTCGATAAATTCTCTTCAGGTTCTTCAATTAAATAATCTGATAAAATGGACCGGTTTAAGGGGTAAAGTACATCGTTTAAAGTTAAAGCATGTGAATTAAGGATTGTCAATTAAAATAGAATAAAATTGTTAATGTTGATATGACTCATATAGAATGTTAATTTAGATCAGCTTGGGTGTTATGTGAAAGTTTAAGATCTATGATCAGAATTGTTAATTCAAGGCTCGTAACAACTGAACTATGTTTTTAGATTTTTCTTGTCTTTAAACCATAAATTAGTAGATCAATATAATATCGAATGATTTTACATTAAAAAAAAACTAAACAACTTTATCTGAAGTGGAACAAATCTTCAAAATTTAGAATATCACACCGATACCCATTCAAATATTGGAAAACAAAGAGAAAAAAATAGATGCAGGTACATCTAGCCGATGAGTCCAAAATAGGACGAAATGCGCTTCCTGGATTCCACTACTAGTCACTAACCATCTTTGAAAATAATAGTTGTTTAAACTCGTAAAAGTCTATTAAGATCTCTGAATAAAGTAATGAATGACACAATGAAGAATTTAATACTAACAAGTTTTAACAGTGTTCATTTATTGGAAGAAGAAGAAGAAGAAGAAGTAATCTTCCAAATTTATGATGTAGTCAACTATGTTCAATGAAACTTTTACATTGATCGACTTAAATTTATTTGGAAATTCTTATTTTTAACATATTTCATAGGTGAAGAAAAGCTAGGATTTAATGATATAAACCTTTGTCTATTAATTTACTATACGTCTTAATCATTTAGCTTTTTTCTTTTAAAATGTCATTGAAGAATTTCAGGTTTATAGTTAATTATGCAATCCTTATTTAGCAGATAAATTACTAATTAATAATGCAACAAATATCCTGTAAATGGTTTTTAAACAATGATTATATTCATTAGAACCCAGGATTTGATTGCTTTAATCTCGATTCATGTAAAGACAGTAACAAACTATGCTAGAAATTAAAATCGATTCCGGCGAGACTATAATCTATGGACGAACCAATCAGATTTAAGATAGCAGATCTTGCATTTTAGCACAAAGTTGATTCATTCATTTGGCTAAATATCATTTCGTCACTATAGCTGATGTCAGTTCATGATAGAAACATTAAATCCAATTCTTAACTTTAATGCTCAACTGTAAATCCTAATCCTCATTCCTCACCAAAATATATAATCCTGATTTAACACTAGTAAGTAGGTGGACATTCCAAGGCCATTTTAGCGCCACTCAACTTTCGTCCATGAATTATAGTCTTGCCAGTGTTTAAATATGTTTCATATTATGTTAAAGAAAAAATGAAAAGAATGGAAACTTGACTATTTGAACCCGGTAACTCAGTGAATAATATAATGGGAGTTTGAAGTGAAAGATACTAAGTTCAATCCTCCATGAAAATAGATACAGTTTGATAGAGATATATTCAGTTGATGAATCCCAAGTAGGACCATACTCATATCTTGGTTTTTACTGCAAGCCACATATAAAATATCTGAAAGATACTTTATAGGTTATTTTGAACATAAAAACCACTGTTAACTTGCATTATTTGCATTTTACTCTGATTATTGTTGATACTGTTACATTCAAAAAGGATGTAACTGATACTTAAGAAAAACATCGATTTAAAACATTAAAAAATGAATTCGATTTTATATCTCTTCAGAAGAAATACCTTGATTAAGATCAACTGTGGAACTATTTGTTTTATAAAAGATTCTTTACATACTATGGGATTCAATGGAGATTTTTAAAGAATATAGTAAAAAAGAAAAGTTGAACACACTAAATTGTAATCACAAGTAAATAATGACTGAAACACTGAAAAATAAATCATGCAAAGAGTTTGTTTCTTTCATCAAGATAATTGAAAGAAAACTATTGATTTCTTTGAATACAAATACTATGTTTAGATCTTCTAATAACCAAGGGCTCTTCAAATGTTTAATTTTAAACTAATTATAAAATTTGCCATCCAAATAGTTTACTTTTCACTTGTTAGCAGTTTATTTATTAAAATCTTAAATATACCAACATATTTAAATAATTAAACTTTTTAGCTTGTATATGACTGAAAATAGATGAATGAAATACGTCGTCTTAATTGCATCCTGTGAACATCATTGTTCTTGCTTTGTTTAAATTTGCAAAGATAACCAATTACGTGAAGAAAAAACGACGTCGATTTCACCAAAATGATGAAAATACGGTTACCATTTTTGGGTTGTGGAGATAGTTGAGTTTTGATTGAGATCATGAATGAACCAATGTCAAACCACCACTGGACGAACTGGACGGCCGTTTCGTCCTGGTATGGAATTCCTCAGCAGTGCGCATCCATGATCTCTCACGTGGGATTCTGACCTGGCCCCAAGCACAAACGCTTATCCCCTATACCGCTGAGCCGGCATCATGTGCTCACTAGTGACTAGCTTCAAGATAGAGTTCTTCAAGTCTTGGTGAAAAACCGTAAACAGTGGAGTCTAGTGTAAGGCAGTTACTCATTGAAGACAATGAAGGACGGTCGCGCAACATCGTGGATTAGTTTAGGTTAGACATTAATGCTGTTGGATCCCGAGTGCGAAATCGTGGATGCGCAATGATGAGGAGTCTCGTATTAGGACGAAACGGCCGTCCAGTTCTTCCAGGTTTTCAATGGGGGTCTAGCATTGATCCACATATGATCTCAACTGAAAATACGGTTAATGTTTGAATTGATCCAGAGAAACTACTGTTAAAACTCATTGTCATTTGTTCTAGTTTTATCTGTGATAACATGTTAATCACAAAATTATATGAACAATTTTAGTTTCAAATGATGGATAGTGGCTAGCAATGGAGTCCAGGATGCGCGTTGCGTCCGATTTTAGACTCGTCAGCTGTATGTACCTGCATCTCAGAGTTGATGTTCATTCCGGTACTCGAACCCAGTACCGTTTGCTTTAAACGTCATCGTCCAGAGGGAAATTCAAATTTGAGATGCAGGTACATCCAGCTGACGAGTCCAAAATAGGACGAAACGCGCATCCTGGATTCCACTGCTAGCCATTATCCATATTTGTTTATGATGCTTTTGCATTAAGGCAATATCGAGGCAACACGCACAGTATGTACATATGTCAATAAGAGACTGATCAATCGCAGTCCCAAACATCAGTGGGAAGATTCAAGTAAATAATATCAAGTATATTATAGTTTCCTTATGTGATGTATGATTTTAATTTATTGCTAGATGGTTCGAATTCCACAATGTATGTTAATTAACCTTATGATGATGTTATTAACAAACAACTAAACTAAAAGTATATACAATCTTAATTAAATTTAGTTTTCTTTCAATTATGTAAGTCAAAAGAACATTTTGTTTGACTGGTTTTATTATGATTAATCAGTGATTTATTGAACTGATTGATGATCCGTATGAGAAAGTTTTCAAAATGAAGTTTTTAGTTCAGATTATCACATGTATGGTTTATTAGTTAAGCTATAAGTAACGTTGTACATTTTATACACTAACAACGATAAAAATTGAATAAGTTCAGTGACAACAGTGATTAAAATAAGATAAGAAATCAAAGTCACATTAAAACTGGAGATACACCTTACAAAAAATGTTATTTATTAGGAACCTCATGTCTAAAACTTCCTGTCGGTTGATTTCAACCAACTTACATCTGATATATTGCATTCTGATATTTAGAGGAATAATCATATTGGGACTAGATTGACCGATATTCATAAAAAATAAGGATTGAACTGTTGATGATTGGTTACTACTAAGCGATTAATCAGTGAATAAATGTTTCTATACACATCCAGTGTAGTAAAGCGCTTGATTTTTCTACAACCATTATTCTTCAATAGTTAAAACGCCCTTTTTCCCAGCGTACTTCTAATACACAATAATAAACAATGTTATCTTAACAATAAAAGGAATAGAAATACTTTACTCGAGTAAAAATATGATAGTAATATTAGGGTCGTGATTTCATAAAGCGTTTTTCGTTAAAACATCATTGATAATTAGTTGTGAGGAAAATTTTTAATTCAGATAGCCTTCCTTGACCATAGCCTTAGTATAAATAAATGAGATTAAGTGACTATATACTAATAAATTGTTTAGATATGAAATAAAATTTGTTATTGGTATGAGCACAAGATTTATTACTAATATACGATGAGTTATGAAGATTCACATAATCGCATTTACTCTTTTACTTTTAAGATTATTATAAATGAGTATGTTTTAAAATACAAGAATAATGTTTTAATTTGGTCTTTTGTTATAACCTGTCCACTTTGTTTTAATAGACTAGACTAACGAGCAAAAGAAAAGTTTTACAATTCCAGTAAGCTTGGCAACTTCATTTCCTTACTTCTAAGTTAAAGATAGGATCCTGGATTAGAAGTAGCTGCAGAACCAGTAAAAGACAAACAGCACTGAATTAATGCTTCTTTTTAGACTGCAGTAGTCTAGTAATGTATCTGTTAATCTTGATGAGAAGTGAGCATGATATTATAAAGTCGGTTCGAATCAAAATGCCCATTGTTTAGTGTAATTGACATCCGATCAATTAGTCATATGGTTTATTTAGTATGACAAGTCAACAATATCCGGGACTCAATTTTTTGTGAATCTTGAGTATATACTTCAAATTATGATAAAGTGTTTATTTATTATTGACTGAATTCAATGATTCTTTGACTAATATCATCGTCATAGATGATACATCTGTAGAAAAATGGTGTTGTGCAATAGTTTAAAAATCAGACCTATCATTTTTCACTGCAAAAATTAATATCGATCAACATGGTTGTACTGAAAGTTCATCGGTCTTCCTAAATATACATCATTTCACTGATTCATAAATTTAGTTATTGAATGCGCTACAGAGTACTTTATATTATTTTTTGTAGTAAGGAAAAATGTATATGTACATATCAAGTAGAAAACAGTAAAATAAAAAAATAAGATAATCGGACCTATCATTTTAGACATGTTTTGGTTAAACAGTAATTTAATAATGAGTGAATGAGACTTGAATTGTGTATAAAGCGCCCAGAATACTGAAAACTTGTCAGCAGATACATAATTGAATTTTAATATTCTACGAAAGTTTAGGAATATCAAATTACCTATCTGAAGAACTTACTGAGATGGTGGAGAAGATTTGTAGCTCAGGTGGATGATTTGGATGGTTTGGTCGACCAAACCAGAAAAGGCCAGATACAGAAGAGATGCTGTTATACTCCGGTCACGAAGAGGAAAATGCTCCACACACTCAAGGAGTTGCTCCAATGCTGTCAAAAGTAGCACAAAATGCACTTGTAGGACGGGAATCTCACGGAT